GGTTTAAATTATATGATTTTTTTTGTGTTTACTTATATTCATAACCTTATGTTAAATTTTTTTTTTCGTATTTAGGGAAAGAAAAAACAAGTTAGAGTTGCATCTTCTCATAAGAGAAAAAGAAATGATGCCACTGTTAAGATAGATAAAGAAAAAGTTAATGATAGTGGTGGTTGAACTTTGAGGAGTAGAAAGGGCAAAGAGAAGGTTAATGATACTACTACAATAAAGCATAAGGGTGCTGCAACAAACCGAAGGCAAGCTGCAATAAAGAAGAAACCAAATTTAGATGTTGATGCTTGTTGAAATCAAGAGATTTACAAGATCATGGATTGTAAAAAAGAAGTGGTGTTGCTAGTGTTTCAAAAACAAATAGAAGTGGTTTCAAAAGAAATTGATTTTTTAAGGATTTTAGTTAAAACTTGATTACTTATATGTAAGGAATATCGTCAAAGTGCATTTCCTAACTCGTACTATTTAATGTCATGTTAAATTCTATATTTATTTAGTTTCGTTTGATTATTACATTTCTTTCTCACATGTAGATAATGTATGATATTTATGGATGTGATTGAGAAGTTCTTCTATTTGTTATAGACATTGAAAGAGCTTGTCGACAACATGAAATCTCATTTATTGATGTTTTACTTCATTAAGTTAATGAACTTACCTTGTTACAAATAGGAATTTGCATTTCAATGCTGCTTTCCTTGGAAAATAAATATACTTGTCCCAGTGAATGTATATGGTTATGGTTAATGAATCTATTATCCTAGTTACAACTAATACTCATCAAATGAGGTCTGGTTTTTTAATGGCATTGTCCAAATAACGGCAAAATGTTATAAACAAAATGGTACTTAATTTTTCTATTTCTTGTAAGGTTCTTAGAATAGACTGGCATAGCAATTCACAAGCTTTGGTCGTAATTCTTTGAACCTCTCATTATCATTCTTTGAACCAATTTTCAACCAAATCGAACTAATGACATCGGTGACCAAAGCTTAACTTTTACACCGTCATTATCAATTCTCCCCCTTTCAATCCTCAATAAAGCTCGACTTACTAATTTTTCCTTTTTAACTAAGTAATATATCTCTATATGCTAGCGAGGAACGGGAGGTGCAAGTGCAATTCTAGTTCCTACCGCAATAACTTCCGATAATAAGTTGAATCATATCAATAACAAATTTACAAAAATTGTTAAATTCATTTCAAACCCATAGCATTACAATCACAATGAAAAATATTATAAAAATAAATTTAAGTAAAAGACATATTCTACTCTTAAACAACATCAAATCACCACACAACAACTTTAAGTTTGCAACTCCATTTCAATCAATAGTTCCTCAATTTATGTTCCTTTTTTTTGTATTTAATTAGGCGTTAAAATTTTAAAAAATCAATAATTATTTTTTTTACACAAATTGACTATTATATAATATATACAATATTTTTTACATTTATATGCTTCTTTACTTTTTTCCATCAATTTATATTATTTTTTTATTTAATTAGGTGTTAAGATTTTGAAAAATCAATCATTATTTTTGTTTTTTACACAAACCGATTATTATATAGTATATACAATATTTTTTTATATTTATATGATATATTCTCCTTCCTTTTTTTTTTTTTAGTTTCACTATACATGCAATTTTCCCCCTTTGTTTTTTTCATCAATTTAGGTTCTTTTTTTAATTTAATTTTTAAATTTTTTTAGATTATTTTATTTTTTATCTCTAAAATTTTCAAATAAAAATTTTAATTTCCTAACCGATGCACTATATATGCTTTTTTCTCCCTTTGCTTTTTTCATCAATTTATGTTCTTTTTTTTATTTAATTAGATATTAAAATTATAAAAAATCAATCGTTATTCTTTTCTTTACACAAAGTAACTATTATATAATATATATGATATTTTTTTACGTTTATATGATATGCTTTAAGATTTTAGAATAAATAAACTACTATTATTATTTAAAATTGATTTTTTTGATAAAAAATTCTCATCAAGTTAATTTTTATTCTTATTTTTTATATAATTTTAATTATTAATAAATATGAATTATTTTCTCTATGTATGGATTCAAATAATTTTTTATACCTATTTTTATTTGTTTAATTCTTACATAATAAAATTTTAAAAATTGAATATATGTATTTTATTTTTTTATTTTTTATATAATCAAATTTTATCAAAATCAATTTTATAGTTTTTATTGCACTCTATTAACTTCAATACATATTTTACTATTTAATTTTTTAAAATTATTTTTTAGCTTATTTTATACATTCTCACCTATTATTTATGATCATGATGCATAAAAAATAATAATATTAGAGTCATTGATTTTATTAGAAATCAACTACGCATCTACACACATAATACCAACTATTTGCTATTATTTTTTTAATATTTAAAATGATTTTTTTTTCAAATAAAATAATTGAAATAATATTTTAGAATAATTGCCTAATAATTCAAATATAATTTTATATACTAATATCAATCATTATTTTGTAAATAAATATATATAAATCAAATGTATATATTTTTTTTAAAAATCTTCTCTTCGATTAAAAATTTTTATTTGTTAATTTTCATAAAATTTTTTGTGTTAATTTTTGCTTTATTTCTTTGATTCAATGTAATGAAAAAAGTATTAATATATATTTTTTTTCCTGAATTTTTTATTAATGTTTTTTTATTATGGGTTATATATATATATATATATATATATATATATTATCTTTTTTTATTTTAAAATTAACATATAATTCAGCTTATATTATTTTTATAATTTAAATTTCATTCTTTGAATTTATCATTTCTTATGAAAATTAACATCCAAATAATATTTTTTTATATAATATTTTATTTATTGATAAATATAATTTATTTTTCTCTATATTTGAATTTTAGAATAAATTTTTAAAACATGATTTTTTTTCTTTTCAATAAATAAATTGGTATAATATATATATATATATATATATATATATATATATATATATATATCATGAATTCTTATAATTTTTAAATGATATAATTATTTTATTCTAAAAGGTTAAAATAGTATTTTAAATGATTTATCCGAGTTCACCGGATATGGTCAAGATGTATAAAAAAACTATTGAATCGTTGATTTTATTTAAAATTAACTATATATCTTCCAACATAATACAAATTATTTACCATGAATATTTTTTTAACATTATAGAACCAATTTATTTGAAATAAAATAATTAAAATAATGTTTTAAAAGAACCAACTAATTATTCAAATACATTTTTTTTATGCTAATTGTATTGATTATTTTGTAAATAAATATATATAGATCTAATGCATATACTTCGGAAAAAAAAAATCTTCTCACCAATATTAAATAAGAATAAACTTTTATTTTTTCATTCATTAATTTTTATGCAAGTCTATAGATTAATTGTAACTTTATTTTTTTATATACATTCTTATAAACATATATAGTTTAAAGTATTTGCTTTTGAATTCTTAATTAATATTTAAGGTTTAAATTATTATAAATTTTTATTTAAGAATTTTTGAATAAAAAAGAATAAATCATTTTTTTAAGAAAAAATTTTATGAAAAAAAATGTTGTAATAATTAAATAAAAAATTAATGAAAAAATTATAAAATTTTTAAATGATTTTTTTTATTTACCCATAACATTATGTAGATAATTTCAAAAATTAATCTTCCCATAAACATTAAATAAGAATTTTTTTCTTATTTTTTAATTTTTGTAAAAGTCTATCCATTAATTATAACTTTATTTTTTTCAATACAATATTATGAAAATTATATTTAAATGTTTTTTAATTTTTTTATTAATATTTTAGTTAAAATTATTGTATTTTTTATTTTAAAATCAATTCATAAAGAAGAATGGTTTATGTTTTTTTAAGCAAAAAACTTATATAAAAAAATTAAGTGAATAAAAAATTATAATGAAAAAAATTTAAAATTATAAACTAATTTTTTTTCTACCAAACCTTCAACAGTAGCACGAGCAAGTGACTAGTATATACTATTTAAAAGAGCATATTGTAAATAAATATTTTTTAAAAAAAATAAAAAATAAAAAAGAAAATTTCATAAAATTATTTTTTAATTTCATTATTTATAATTGTTTTAGTAAAAGAACAATTTTTGTATATTTATTTAACTTTTCATGAAAAGTTCTTTTAAAAAATTTCAAGAAAATTATAAATAAAAAATGTATTTTTAATTATAAGTAATAAAAGAATATAAAAAACATTTTTTCAAGAAAATAAAAAATAAAAAATAATATATATTTTTAAAATTTTATTTATTTATTTATATTTTTTCAGGAAAACTATAAATAAAGAAAATAAAGTATAAAAAAATTATTCTTTTTTGTTAAGAAAATTTATTTATTTAAAATTTTAAAATTTTTATTTATTTATAATTTGTTCTTTTTCTAGAAGAAAAATTGTCTCTAAATTAAGTTTTGGACACTAAACCTTACAAGCATGTCATCTGTCATAAACTCATTATGGTTTGTTATTTGTTTAATCTAAAAACATATGGAGCCAATAAAATGCAATTAAAAGACATAGTAAATCAAAATAATAATACAGGGACCGACCAAGTTAATAAAATATAAATGAATGACCTAATATGGAAGTTTGTCTAGTAAATTTGTTTTATTCTCATTAATTAATAGTAGAATGGATAAAATTCCTCAAGGGGCCCAACCCAAAATGCAAGAAAGTCCAGCATTCTATTGTACCAAAACCCGATTCTCTTGGTCATTGAGTTTACTATTTATGACCAAAACGCCAAAATAAATTAAGAACTCCGTTTTCACCTCCCTTTAACCGCTTCCTTTCTTTGCCTCCAAAATTTCGCTACCGCGGAGGAGGAGGAGGAAATATTAAAAGAAAAAATGGGTGAAGAAAAAGGGAAAAGTAGGGGCGTCACCGTTAACCCCCAGAGTCAGTACTATTATGGCACCTTTCGAGGCGTCGCTAATTACCACCCTCCTCCTCCACAGCCGCCGCCTCATCCTGTTGTCGGCTTCCCTCAACCTATACGTCCTCCACAGTACGGATACCAAAATATTACAACAGGTTTTTTTATGATCATGAAAATACATGGCTTCTGGTATTTTTTTTATTGATTTTGTTTCGAATTAGCGTTTAATGGATAATTCTTTATTGTAAGTAGCTGAATTGATTTTGTGTCGAACATTAATTGGTGTTAGTGACACTGTTTGTTTATCGAAGGATATGCTGTCATGGAAGGAAGACCTTTAAGAGAAGATAGACTTCCATGCTGTGGTATGGGCATGGGATGGTTCTTGTAAGTTGACATTCTTAACAATTTTTGTAATTTAAAGACATCATTTTCATGGCACCGTTTTTACAACAACTTCATGTCTATCTATACCTTTTTTTTTTTTTTAGTTTGCTTGTAATCCTATTTCAGCTTAGTTTACTTGTAATCTTGATTCATGCTAAAGCGGAAAGAGACTGGAAAACGAACACAGAAGGCACATTTTAGTACCTGTTGGAGACAAGGGACCAAGTTTTGTGAAATTTTGTCATCCTATCAATGATCATTTTACTTTGGCAAAGCAAAATTTTTGTATTTCACTGCAGGTTTTTCATCTTCACGTCATCTGCATAAACAATTTAAAATGGACTTTGGAAAATGGTTGTATTATGATTTTTTTGTCATTGCTTTGAGTATTATGCTTGTTCTATTTAATTTGAAAATTCGATTATTATTTTCTCAAGCCTTCGAGAGGAAACTTCCCAGCTTTGATCTATCATTTTCTGGGACCTTAGTTTTATGATATGGTTGACTTTTGGGCCTCTTTTGATACTCCCCATATGCTTTAGCTGTGCTTGTAAATCAATTTAACTCCTCAAAAGCCTTAGAGCGAAGACTGGTTTTCCATCTTTTTGGTGACATTGTGTACCAAATGTGCGTTATGATTTATGGGACTAAATATGGATTCTTAGGACAGATATTCATGTCCTTAATGTTTATAGCATGAGGTAAGATGGGCAGAAAAGAAGTCCATTAATGATGGAATGATCTTGTAGAATGGAAGATAGGAAGTTGGATGAAACCAGAATTAATTTCAGGAAACTTGTTCTAGTTTCAAAGCCTTGAGAAGGAAAAACCTTTTAATCACTAGGGACCCTGTTAATTTTGTTCTACTTTAAAATCATAATTTAATGAATTTTCTTTGACTTAGTTGATTGACATTACTTTTGTGCCTTCTTTTGCAAGGTTTATTGTTGGTTTCTTTTTAGGTGGCATTCCTTGGTATGTAGGGGCTTTTCTTCTGCTCTGTGCACAGTTGGATTACAGGGAAAAACCTGGATATGTGGCATGTGCAATAGCTGTGAGTGACTGTTATTCATCATTATTTTTCTTCCTTTTGAATGCTTGCTAGTTACATTTAATGCCAGTTTATAGATGAACTTATGCTAAAAGGCTGTGTTTGGTTCACCAGAGAATTGCAATAGAAAGAAGTACCTTTCATTCCTTCTGTGATGTTGTTTTGTTCACTAAAATGATGGTTCCATTTCCACTGGAAAAGATAGGTATTTTAAGACGATAAATTACTCAATATACATGGTAATACTGTGTATCTTATTACATATTTACTACTACATTGAGTTTTCAATACCGTAAATGTGTATTTTATCTGAGTTGGAATCAGAATCTTATCCCCTGGCTTTTTTCCAACCATTTCCAGCATTTGTGGTAAACACCTCATCGGGCTAGGTCTTGATATTGAGTTGATAAGTAATTTTCAAAAAGTAAATGTAGCTTAAAGAGTTATTTTAGTTCTCGGAGTAACTATTTATTCCTCTGTGTAGGTGATGTTTAGCGGGGGATAGTTTAAATTTTCTTAATTCTGAAACTTGAAATTAACAGTTGTTCCACATTCATGTTGCGATTTGTCATTTCCATTTGACTAAAACCTTGCTTGTTCCTATAAGGGAACGTGTCTTGAATACTCTCAATGTCTATTGGATGGTTGTTTCGTTGGGGGTTTGCCTAGGATTGCTCTTCCAAGCATGTAATTTTCCTGTATAGTGGTGGAGGATCAATGTAGGCTAGTTATTAGTCGCATTGCAGTTATATTCTAGATTTTTAGCTATTGCAGTAACAGGCTAACAGTTTTATTAGGCTGTCATGAATTTTTTTCATGGAATTTGTGGTCATTTGTTTATTCAAACAAGGGGTGTCTTGTGCATGGATAGGGTTGAATAAAATGAGATTATTGTTTACGTTGTAACTACCATAAAAATAGTAAGTTATAAGAGTCTCTTAATGAACAGAGAATATGTAAATGAGAATACTTGAAGAGGTTCTTTGCTCTTTGCTCTATGGAACTTGTGCATTAGTTGAAGAGTGCCTCCTCCTTTGCCACACTTCTGACAATTTTAATGCCCTAGCTGGTGTTAGGGAATTGATCGTGGAAAAGTTTAATCTACTTCTGTTAGGTCATAAAGCTGTCTTCACTATTTAATGTAGAACTCCAGAGAACTATTTGCATCCTCCCCCAATGGCTATTCTGTTGATTGTTGATGTACCACCTCTAGCAAAAGATCTTCAGTGGATTCAATGCTTACATCTTGCCCTATCATTTTTTATTTTTGCTATATTGGTGTATGAATATTACTGATTGAAGACAGTCTAAACTTTAAAGTTGCAGTTGTGCTTGTACTTTAGTTGCTGGCTATCACGCTATTCCATTGGGGCAAGCAAAATAACAGTATTGTCTCTACTGCTGCTTTGCCTTTAGTCTTACTGTTATGCAAGGAGTTATAGAATTGAAAATCGGACTATTCCTTGTTTACTACTGTGCACTTTAATTTTACAACTCAATTGCTCTTGCTTTTGTTTCCTTTCTCTATGAAGTTTAACTTTATCTTTCTTATTAGTTGCTGAGAACAAAGAACTATTTCTTAGAGAAACGAGGATTTATGATTGCCTGTGCTGACACAAGTTTCATTTTCACATGTTTAGTCTATTCTTGCCATGATTGCGGTTACTCTTGGAGCAACAAAGGGAGCTCACCACTGGTGAGGGTTCTTATGCAGATCTGATTGAACGCTCAAATGTTCGATACTATAAAATAACTGGCTGGTTTTAGCAGTTATGCTTCAAGGCTGCCTTTTCTGAAGGCAATTTATGAAGTTATTTATGTCAATCTAAACTGCTAGTGACTAGTGAGGCATTCTGTAGGCTATAAAATTCAGGGAAAGGATTTAATACGTTAGGAAAGGAAAACATGGGGGAAATGTATCTTTAATATTGAACTGAAATAAATGGTTTTTATTATATGTTTGATTCATCGATTTATTTATTTTTTATTTTTTCAGTAAGGAAAGTGATTTTGTCAGTTCAGTCATGTACTGGCTCGGCAGATTTTACTGTGTTGAATTCTGTAATCATGCAGTCAAGTTCATCAGTTCTAAACTGGTTTTTCTTTCCCCTCAAATTACATGGCGAGGTCGACTGAGCTTGTCTTTCATGATAGATAGATGTTGTTGTTCTAGGACAAAGTTTCATTGGTTACCTTAGTAGGAAGGAAGTGCTGCTGAAAACCATGGTCCACTGAACTCTGGTTGAATATAGCTTTTAACCTTATAGCAAAGCCAACTTGAAAAATCTATATTTTGATGCATGCAATGTTCGAAAAAGGTTGTAACCAGCTGAATCTAGTTGTCAAAGATGCAGGTTAAAAATCGCTACATTGATATTAGCATCAAGTGCTAATAAACAAAATATTACTAGTAAAATGCCATGTCGATATGGTAATTGCTGCAATCCTCAAGAATGATAAGACTTCAATTCTTCAATCAAAGCACTTGAATCATTGTAAGACGAGGCTCAATCTTCAACAGCTTTGCTTGCCATTTTTCCCTGGATTTTTGGCTCAACTCACTTCCTCTGCTTTCTCACCCGCCATTATCTCCTTCACTGCCTTCTCTGTTGCTCCCCTCTTTCACATATTCCCCCTCCAACCTGATACTTGATGAACACCAACACCAATCTTTATAACATCGGTAATTGATTTCTGATTTCTTTTTCTAAAAAAAACAATAATAAAACAGGCCAAATAACCATTGGCAAAACAGCACCGCACATTTTAAAGCAGAGTTCCACCCACAATGAGTCACAAAATCCACCAACAGCGGCATATCAAGAATCAGAACTTAGGATCCCACCCTCTTATCAGTCCTTTACCGTCCATTCTTTTTCTTATCCATCAAGGAACCATTTCTCTTAGTTTTCTTGTTCATTCTTTTCTGCACTCACAACCCAAATAAATTCTTGCAGACATTTCAAGGCCTATTGCGATCTCATGAAACTGAGAATCAGAAAATTTGTAGTGATACTAAAGCATAGAAGGACAACTGAATTCAGTTTCTTCCACTCAAGCTATTTCATGCAGTCGTGTGTATATATATATATATATTGCAAAGAGAAACCTGCCATATGTGCCAAGCCATTTTGCCCAAACCCCTCCTGCAGTAATCTACATAACCTGGCTAGCCATAAGAACGGTTTACTATCACTCCTAACACAGGCGTGCCTCCTTAAAATTCCAAGTGGTTGAAATTTTTAGGTCATTCTATCCTTTTTATCTATGCGTTAATTAGACCCTTTTAATAGGTTGAATAATTATGTATTTTTATATTGTTTTAATTATTTGAACTTGGACTAATTAAATTAATTGTCATGTTTATTTTTATTGTTGGCCGAATATGTGGCCTATCAAAGAATTATGTGAGACTCCAAAAATATTTTTATATTATTTTTTAATACGTCCCTTCAAGGGAAAGCCTTTAGTGATTGTATAGGTCTACCACTACTTTACGCTTAATTATTTAATTAGAAGACGAGTGGTGAGATTCAAAATTTTAACATTTTAGTTATCAAGACTCGATATCATATAAAAAACCATTTCAACAAAAAAAAAGGTAAAATTTTATGTGAGACCTCATGAATAGTTTTATATTATTCTTTAACATGACCTTATTATTGCACTACAAAAAAATATGCAATTTAGTGACAAACAACATATTATCGTTATATAGCGACAAATTTGTGAATAAATAATGACTATCATCGATTTGGGTATGTAGCGACGAATACCAACCCGTTAGCGATGGAAAATCAACGACGAATCACTTCTATTGCTAAATATCTCGGTAAATTTTTTGTGGCTATTTTAACGATGGATTATCAACGGAATTGCAATAGCATTCGGTGACAAATCATGATTTTCATCGCTAATGTTGGAGCATTATTTTTTTGACTTATAAGTGACAAAATATTCTATCGCCAATTCCTTTAATTTGTCATAAATTCATGACGAAACATGTCCATCCTTAAAAAATCCAATATCAATAATGAAAATTTTCAGTTGCTAATATGTGGAAAAAAAAAACACCGTTTTGAAATTTGAAATCAATGATAGATACTTAAATTCGTCATCGATTTATGACAAAATCAACAACTTATTAACGGATCATGGCGATTGCTAATTGGGCCAATTTATGAATGTCAATTCACCAATGAACACTACTTTTCGTTGCTAATCAACAATAGAGTCACGTCCCTTGCTAAAGTTAAATCCCTAAATTGGTAGAATCCTTTATTCTTCTCATTTTTCTTCTTTTTTCTCCCTCTCCACCTCTTGCTACAGCATCCTCCAAGTGATGCCGCCACCTTAACACCCCCTAAAACACCTCACAAATCTTTCTCCTCCACTCTTCGACGAATCCCCAACCATTCCAATTGTCTTCTCTCCTAAAATAGCTACGGTCCCCTCCCTCAAACGAGTCTTCTCCATCCTCTCTCTCTTTTCCTCCCTTAATCAGTCTCCAATCGATTCAATTAGGTGTATGTCTTTCTTCTAATCCATATTTTACATTTAATTTATGTGGGTTTTTTTTATCATTCTTGATTTTGCTATTTTTTGTGGTATACATCTAATTAATTGTTAGTAATATGTTAGGAATTGAGTAATTTATGTTATTTGAAATTTAATTGAATATATTTTTTATTTATCAAAATTGCTTTAAATTAATTAGGTTTGGTTATTAATAAACCAGGATAAAATTTGAGTATTTAATTTGTTATACAATTATTAAAAATAAAGGTGCAATCATTTGATAATCAAGTTATTGGATTTAAAATAATACATTAATTTTAAAATTGACATAATTTAAGATTATTTGAATTTAGGATTTACAAATTGATAAATTAATTTTTGATCAAATTTATTTGATATAGATAAATAATTAGTTGTTTTAAGAATTGTGATATTAATCATTGATATACAAATTTGTTCTAGCTAATCGAGTAGCATTACCAAGCAATACTCTAACCACTCCATCAATTTTCCAGGCACTCCTACTCTCAAGGTAAGTTATTGAAACCCTAATTTATAATTTATTCCATGAAATTTATTGCAAGTTAATTATGAAAATTGATATTGAATTTATTTTACTAATAATTAATAAAGTGTGTCAAGATACATCATAACGTATCAAACCCGAAGGGTTGGAGATCTTTAGGAATTGAGGAGAAATAAAATGGTGTCAATGCTTTGCAATGGAGCTGAAAGGACATAGATTGTGTTTTAATTTAAAAAGATTATCCAATATAAGTATCATCCTCGTTATGTGTAAATTGATTAACTTGATTGTTTGATTGTGACTTTTGTTTGATGTTTGTACGATAATGATTAATTAAAAGTATTTACATGTGTGACCTAAATCCCGACGAGTTGTTTGTGAGGACTTATAAGCACCGGGATGGGTCATTTGTCGATACGTAGTCCCAAACAATTAGGATAAGTTTATATTTTTTTAGTTATAGATATACCAATTTAATCTAAAAATTAAATTTATCATATACTATTATATGAGTTAGCTTTTTTTAATTGCGTATGAGCACATGGACTCATTGTATGAGTTAGTCGCTAGCTAACGAGTTGAAAGTTGATTTATCATCTCTAGGCATTGACATGGCCCGGATATATCTCCAAGTTATAGGAGGGAAGAAAAAGTGTAGAGTATAAGATCTTGGTTCATATATGTCTCGGCATTGATCCCATTCCGGAGCCATCTCATCCTCTACCACATTGCAGTTCCTTAATCGTATGTAGCAAGATAGTGAGCATGTCCATTATAAACTTGAGGATAAGAGAATAAATGTACATAGTGGATCCAAGAGGTAGAGAACAAACACCAAGCGGAATATCGGGTTCAATAACAAGAGATGCAAAGTATGTAGTAGTTGTTATAGGAATCACTCATTCATAACGTCCCTCCGTCTAACCTTCCCCATAAATTTTATTTTTAGTTCTTTTCTACTATGATAGAATATTTAAATTCTTATTAACTAAATTAAAAATAAATTTCTTTATTTAGCAATGGATTAATGACAAATTAATGAAAAAAATAATAAATTAATCACTCATATATGCTAATAGTTGAAGGTGATTTATCA